TCAAACAGCTTCATGATGTCTTCCTCAGCTTCTTCCAGCTGCCCTTTAACAGTATCAAGTTCAAGTCCCTTCCCCTTTTTGGCCTTCTCAGTAATAGCCACCGTCCTCTTCAAGTCCTGCACGGTGATTTGAAGGTTTGTCAACTTTTGTGCATCAGAATCTAGCCTTTCTAGAATCTTCCTCCTGCTTCCTTCCTGGTCTGGCTCTGCATATCTCTTTGGGATCTCTAATTTGTCCACACCCAGCTCCTTTACCCGAGATTCAGTGGGGAGATTTTTTCCCTTACGTTGCTTAACCAGTTCAATGTTACGGTGATCGGTTGGCATGGTAACTCCCTTCTGAGCCTTTCCAACTTTCAGGTCTATGCTGCCATTGCAATTGGCAGTTTCCCACAACTCAAGCATTTGATCATCAATCTCCCAATTGTGTCTCTTGCTTAACCCATTTGATGAACAATCAGATACCTGATCAAGCATAATGTCTTTTGTCATCACACCATTGCTCTCTTCAGAGATTTCAGGTGTTGGTTTCTGCATCTTGAGATCATTACTGAGAAAATGACCATCCCCTCGCTTTGCACTCATATGCTTCTTTGCTCGAGTACTTTCTCGACCAGAGTGGTTCCCAGACCTTAACTCTTCAATCTGTCTCATAGCAGCCTCTAATCTGGAATTAGCATTTCTTCTTTCCAGCATTGCAAACTTCTCCATTTCCATTAGTGCTTTTTCAATAGATTTAATTCTGAATTCCATATATTGCATGTCAGAAAAACTGTCAGGAACTGTTAATTGATCTTCATTTGTCTTCTGACAGCTGTCAGCATGCAGTCCACCTGACATTAGCATCCAGGAAAATGTACATAAAACATCTTTGAGTCAAGAAATAGTGGAGAGTAACTAAAAAACCCAATTGCATGGTTGAAAAATTTTGAGAACCTTTATATACTGAGTTGACCATCGAGATCCAGCCCATCGAGATAAACTTAGAGTCAATGGCAAATACAAGGTTTTGACTTGCTTTTAAGTATCATTTAACATTTTGCTGATAACTGATAAGAATGCCTAGGCGAGTTAAAAACAGAAACTACATATTCAACCACTCTGGATATTAAAAGCAGTCAAGAAGCTCAAGAAGTAAAATAATGTAACATAAAGGCAATAACTAATAAAACAACCTAAAGGATCACAGAATTTTGACAATCAACCATGATTTGGAACCTAACATTAACAAAACAAATTTCTAAACAGATTTTCTTAAGAAAATTAGTAGTTTTCTTAAATGACCAAGCCAGAAAGACTACACAAGTTCAAGCTGCAAGGGCTAAGGATCTGACCAGAAAAAAAAGGTAAAGTCAAGAAAGACAAGAGAGGATAGGACACAGTGTTTGACTAAAAAGGTTCTGCAGATTCTACAAAAATAGTAACCAGCAAAATAAACTCCTCTAGTGCTTCTTTCCTCCACCATAATAGCTGCAATGCTTGGTCTCATTGACTATGAAGCTGCCATCCATCTCTGGAAAGTAGACAAATTCGATTTCATTGTCTGGATGGGTGCCTATGTTGGTGTTGTTTTTGGAAGTGTGGAGATTGGATTGGTTATAGCGGTATGAGAATTTATCAAATCCATTTATCTGAATCAACAGAAAAGCATAGTTGTTTAAGCAGTAACAACAATTCATTATCTGTCTTGGATGCAGGTTGGGATTTCATTGCTCAGGGTGCTTCTGTTTGTAGCAAGGCCAAGGACTTTTGTGCTTGGAGACATTCCAAATTCCATGATATACGGAAATTTTGATTAGTACCCTAATGCAAACAGTATTCCTGGAATTATCATACTTGAAATTGATGCTCCAATTTACTTTGCCAATGCAAGCTACTTAAGAGAATTGTACTAACAAAGTTCCAATTCCCCCATTACTACATCAAAAACAGTATACCCTTTACTCCATTTGACCAAATATTCTGCTCACTCTTATTAGGATCCCAAGGTGGATTGATGAAGAGGAAGACAAACTGAAATCATCCGGAGAAACAAGCTTACAGTACATTATACTGGACATGGGTGGTATGTTGTTCTTTTCCTGCTATATTGTTCTAGAAAATCTAGCAGACTACTTTAC